ATTACAATAATTCGGGCTAATCTGTCAGTAAGCAGGAATGCGCGCGATCGATGTTGTTTAATGATTCAGCGTAAACTTTCTCGCTCGAGAGCGCGCATTGTGAGGGCGATGTGGCGCATGGCCGGGCAAGGAGCGCGGACAGGGGCCTTTAAATACCCGGTTACCTGGATGAACCGTATCCAATAACAAACGTTCTTGGCACGGCACGCGCTTCCACGGGAGGCGGGGGGGGGGGACGGGGTTGCTTATGAAAGAAAAGGGTGAGATGGCACGAACGCGATAGAAATGGAGGAGTCCGCGTTGTACAGCGAAACGGCGTTTAGTCAGGGGTTGACCTGAATTCAGGTGGGGTGAATCAATATCCTGCCTGCCTGCCTGCCTGCCTGCCTGCGGGCTTGGCTGGCTGGCCGCGTGCTCCGTTCGCTTCGCACAGTTACCGTAGCAACCAGACTCCTTCCTTTATTAAAATATGACCCATGTCGTTTTCTGGGTACCACACCGTGTCGCACGTACGCGGCGATTAGGTAAAGATGGCCGGGGAACTGTTCTCGAGAACGCGGGGACTGGGACGTAAAATTTCTGTCGGCCGAAGCCGCATTGCGATTAACCGGCGGGCCGGTCGACTCGTCCGGCGGTGCAGGCCAAAGTGTAACAGCCTTCGTGAACTTCCAAGGGTGCAACCTTGATACCTGCGGGTCCCGTAGGTTCGACGAACCCGATCGCGCAGTGTCACGCGAACTATAAACTTGCTCTAGAGCAACTCTCATGGCCGTCCCCGACAGTCTTCGCGAGATTTGCATTAACGCGCATTAACGATGGACAACGGAAACGTGATTGGAGCTGGGAGGAGATTGGATCTTCTTCGTCTGTACATATTATTATAGTTGTCTGCTTTATGCTTTAATACGTAGGCTCAATTAGGATAATTCCGACGCTGGGATATCTTATAATGGCGAACGAGATGTTCGTTTGTACTCTAGTAAAAGAATATCCTAATCCAAAAAAATATTACTTCCCTCAAGAGAATTATTCATAAAAAATAATAAAAAATTAAAACATGCATTGCTTTAATTTAAGTATTTATAAAATATCAAAGAATATATAGATAATTTTAAATTAAAAAAATTTTATTTTAATTCTATTATATAAAATGTTTACTAAGATGTTTAACAGCGAAGAAAATTGGATTTCTTATTTAACAAAAACAATGGTTTCATTTAACAAATAATATTCTCTATCTCATGAAATCTTTAGTTGAATGTAGAAAATGTAATAATTTAAATTAATTTACTTAATATAATACATAGATTTATTTGAAATTTGATATTTTTATTTAAATAGAATAAATATTTGCTTCAGTAAAAAAATAATTTTAAGTAAATCTATTTACTTGGTTTAAAAAACATTTTTTTGTCAGTCTAGCGATATTAATAAGATTCTTAATGACGCTGTCGTTTGAAGAGACGAAAGGCTATTAAATGCTGCCGTAAATAAAAGAACAAATTCAGTACAACTGCGACAGTTAATAAGCTATTAACTAATTTTTTATCCTTGTTATATTTTCGATTCGTTAAAAGCGACAATTGAGTGTCTACTACACATGTTGAAATTTCTGATATCTGAGGCTCTCGCGGTGTATATGAATACTAGGTTTGGCTTCCGGGTCGGAGCCATATAAGCTTGCCATTTTATTCCGACGTTTCGTCAACATTTCACTTCGTCGGGGAGGAACAACATGATACTGAGTTGTTTCCCTGACAGGGATTTCTATATATTGTAATACAATGATTGACCACGTAGGGAGGATGGTAGAGAATAAAAGAAAGGAGGGAAGTGAATTTCATCTTGTGTTCGCCCTTTCAACGGTTCACCAAACGTCGGAATAACATGGCAAACTTACGTGGCTTCAATTTCGTAAGCTAAACCTTTTGAAATTTATTCCAACTTTTGTCACGCGTTCGCGGCGTGTAAAGATGATTACAGAAATTCGTCTTTTCTTATTTTAAGCATTGACAATCACCTTGTTAATAGTGAACAAGCGAATCTAAGATACGTCAATTACCGAGCTCGGATTCTTCGTAGCCTAAACAATTTTACATGACAACCGTCGACTGGAAAATACCGCGAGGTCCGCGATTATCTAGTCTCACCGATGTTACAATTATCCTTATTGATCCCGCCTTGCTGGCAATCGCCCCCGGAGGTAGGTCGCTATTTCGGGCGGAGATGCAGCCGTTAATTTTTAAACGGCCGGCTAAAAACAGAATTCAACAGCCGTCGCTGTATTAGCGGGCTTTGTTTACGTGGCGATTAATGTCGCCTCATCGAATCCGTCGCGTTTCCGTCGCGGATTGCCAGACTAGGCGGCAACGATATTTGGCCGCGCCGATGAACCGAATAAACATCCAGGTCAGCACACGTGATAGCCTCGAGAGATTGTTTGACGAGAGAGAAAGAGAGTGGGGGGGAGAGAGAGAGAGAGGCCGCTATACATACTCTAAAATCCGCTACGAGGCGAGGATCTATTTATACCGCGGTAACGAGCTCTTGTGTGCGGGGTTGCGCTCCTGCGAAACGGAGCTCGCGGAATTTCCTCGAGAACGCGCAATGTTCATCGGAGATATTCGAATTTGTACGGTCGAACGGCACGACAGGATAACGCCAAATGACTCACTCTACCGTGCACGTGCTCGGTAGGACGGCCGCGGGACCCGGTCAGATCAACAGAATAATATACTTTACGTGGCCATTAGCGGCTCCAGGCCGCGTCCATTCACTCTCACGCGAGAGCGTCTTTATGATACCAAACGTATTGGAGAGCGAGACGTCAGCCTTCGTTTCTCTCGCCAGACGCAAACGTGTAATGACTTAGACGATCCTGTTCATTTTCCTGGTACTTTGAATCCCGCTCGCTCCGCGTCTCGGTAGGAGCCTTTTGCGAGTCTTTTATCTTGGATATGATGTATTTACATCCGAGTATTACGGACCGATAGTCTCTGCCGTTCGACAAAGTGCGACAGTCTGAAGTTTCGCTCGTGATTTATTTGCGATAAAGTCGCTCGGCAATTGGCCGAAATTCGAACGTATTGCCGCGCGGTTCGGGGGATACTTGGCCTAATCCGATTTCACCGCGGTTCTTATGCCCGAGCGTGAGGGAGGGTTCATAAGTTTTCCACGATGAAGCGACAGTTCGGAGATCGGGGTCGATAGGTCAGGTGGGGTAGCAAGTGACAAAGACCGATCGCCCGAGAGTTCAGCGGAGTAATAGGCTCGCCGACCCTGCTTAGCCCCCCGCTATTTCCAACCGCTAATTAATCTTGATCCCCTCATCCGTAGCCCGCGGTGCCACACCGATTGTCAAGGTGGGATGAAAAAGGTCAGCCGTGACGGATTGTTTAGGGTGACATACGCGCAGAAAGATGCAGGTAACGAGAACAAGTGGCTTTAATTAATCCCGCGTCCGACGGTGGGCCGTCCGGTGTGATACATTAAGTAAAAGGTGTCCCGCACGCCCAAACTTGATCTTGCCCCTCGGCATTTTATAGAGAAGCGCCTCCGTCGCTCCCGCTAATGACGGATTCCTTGACTAAACTGGAGACAAGAATTCTCATAACAAAATGTCGAGAATTTAATAGCTTTTGTGTTGTGAGCGATTGAGGGCAAATTGCTTTTCGCCGACTAGAGAACACAAATTGATAACGAAACTTTATATTCTTCGTTTTAATTTCCCCGAGATAAACTTTAAATTAATAGCATTTTAATTTGGTTACTCCCGGAGTTATTTAATGTCAGGCATTAGAAAGTTATGACAAATCATCATTCCTCTCGACATTCTCGTTAAGGTAAAATCGATTTCCATCGCTTATTAAACATCGAGCCACCGTAATGGTCATTATCGTGAAAAACGGGGGTAAAAAGTTTCATTTACTTTTCCCCTTCTTCGTTCACACTGCGAGAGTTACTTAAACAATTTGCAGTATATTTAACGACGGACACGTGATACCCGCGCTGGTTCTCGGTACAATTCCCTGCGCGAATAAGCTGATACTTTTTACAAATCGAAATCATACGTTATTTCTATAATGAGATATGCCATTATGTCATCTCCCTTATACAGTTTGCCGATTTAAACCTAAGCCATTTTCGCTCGACAGCTATTAAACTTGTGTCAAGTCGAGACACGTAATACTCTAACTCACGTAGAAGTTTGAAGCTGCCAACAAGAAGTTATACGATTATACGGGCTCGTATACTAAATACATGGGTAATGCGAATCGTCGGCCAACTAATTTTTCAGTTTACAAATTTCCTGGCCATTATACGGTTATAACTTAGCCACACGAATATTAGCCCCCTCCTGGATACGCGAATAAAGAATCCGGTGAGATACGCTCGGGAGGGAAACGCGAAAGAAGCGCAGGCAATTCTCTGTACGCGCGTCGTCCTCTGAAAATTAAGCTCGTAGACATATTTCTCATCCGCTAAGCCGGAAGCACTGGAGGCGCGATAAAATACGCAGTCACTTTCTTAACTTCGCTCCGCCAGACTTTATGCACGCCCCGTTCGGAAACGCATAAACGATTTATTTGTCCCTTTTGTTATTAAAGAACAAATACGAATCTAGGGCATGGATGTGGACAGCCTCTCCTTGTAATTCTATTAAATAATCTTATGTATTCACGATTTAATAGAATTACAAGGAAAGGCTGTCTACATCCTGCCTTAGACTCGTATTGGCCATTTGTTGTTTAGTTCCAATGAGAGTCCGACTATTCCTTTCATTATTATTTTCTTTATCGAAGATGCAAATGTGAAATGATATTATACTTTGCACGAGCGGAAAGCTTGTCGAGAGAAGTTCCGCTCACGATTCCGGCTAGTGTCTCAAAATCAGGCGAGTTTCCAAGTTCCGCTTTAAAAGTGCTAACGTCGAGAATTTACGCAAGTCTCGCGTGAGAGCGAACGGGCGCGATTTCGCGCGATCGCGGAAACGCACTTACCCGTCTGGACGAGCTTGAGCGCGACGCCATTGTGCTGCTTGAGCGACTCGTTGAGACTCGGCTGCGTGAGGTCCTTGAGGGGATGGTTGGCGGCTTCTTCGGAGCCGGAGGCACGATTATTTTGCATAGTCCTGGCCTGCTGTTCCTCGTTTCGACGTCCTTTCCTACCGGCGTCGCCGCCGCCGTCGCCGTTACGCACGATTTGCTTCCTGCCGGCCGCCGTCTGACTAGTCTCTCGCTTTTTCTCCTTGCGTCTGCGGACGTCGTTCGCGACGACGATTCGCTGCTGCTGCTGCTGATAATGCTGTTGTTGCTGATAATACTGCTGATTTATCTCCTCGTAATCGACGTTCACCGCTGCGCCGTTGACAGTCAATGGCACGGACCGCCGAATCGGATTTTCATAGATACGCAGGAGCTCGTCCGCCGGATAGAAGACGTACATGCCCAGAAATCGTCGCTCGCGTAGCCGTTATCGCTACTGTTACTGCCGCAGTACCGTTGGCCGCGGTCGTGGCCGCTGGCGTAGCCGACGCCGTCGCGGTTTCCGCTATTGCACCCGTTGCTGCCGCCGCTGCTGCTGCCGCTGCTGTTGCTGCTGCTGCTGCTGCTGCCGCCGCACTTCTCGGATCCGCGCGAGCCAACATCGCTGTCCAACGATACATCCTCGGTGATGCTGCGTGCGGGAACGATATCGGCGCCGGTCAGGAGACGCATGATTTTCTTTCTTTCTGAGCGATTAAAGCGTCGCCCCCGCGATGTATCGCCGGCTGCCGCGCGTGCGACGCGACGTCCGCCTCGTTATCGCCGTCGTTGTTTTTCCGCCACGCCAACGCGCCGTCGATGCACTGCAAACGGCCAGGAATAATCGATTTTCGATCGCGTTTCCCCGATCGGCCCGAGCATATCCCGATAATCCTTCATTCCCCACGAAAAGCACGGATTCTAAAAAAAAATTGCCGCTAGACTGCTCTCGTTTCCTTGCCTTTGAATTATTTACTTGTTTTACAGAGCACAGCACACGAGAGGGAGTTGCTGATTTAACATAAATGGAAACAAAATGAGAGCTCTCTCTGCCAAATTATTTTTATTTGCATACAGGAAACTTGAAACGGTCGTGTTTTCTTTCTAAAAAAAAAGAAATCAATCGATTTATCACGCATTGTTTATTTCGCCGTCGCGCGAGAACGAAGAAATCAAGATTTTTGTCGATTCTTTTCGCGATCGACTAAATCGATTATTCGGAGTGGCCATTCTTACAGTATATTTTATTGGCGATTGTTCTTGACTAGCTGCGATAAGACGTCAGAGCTTCGGACTACATCGACGGGAGTATCCGAGGCCCCTTGGGCTGAAACAGAAAGATTTCGGACGATAAGAGTTAGTTCGATATCCATTCGCGCTTTCCAGGCAGTTGCGTGTCTTTCACCTAATCGCAGCTTTGTCTTGTCGAACAGAGTAACGTAACTTCTTGAGATAAGGCAGAACTCGTTCCTCTTTAATTTCATGTAACGTCATTGAGGATATTATTATTCTACACGTCTAATTTGATTTTTTTTTAATGGTATAAAATGTTGAAAGATGACGTGGATAAACATCTTTAGGGTATATTCCCGTTGGAGAAACTTTGCTAAAGGATGAAGGGAGAGTGATTGCCTGTCGGCTGTTTTTCGCGAAATTTTCGAGTCTGCGAAAGCTTATAATTCAGACGAGATAAACAAAACTTTCCTCATCATTTTGATGGGAGAAAAGTATTGTTATCCTATAACACTCGTTCTTTATTACTTATTTTGAGACGTGTACTTCGATATGTTCGAAGTGGGGCAATTTAAAAAAGTAAAAGATCGCCGGCACGACGTGCCAGCTTTTACGGGAAATTTCGGAACCCAGGCGCACGCATAATTCGGGAAGAATAAACAGGCTCTCTCATTGTTTTGATGAGCGGAAGTAGGTCTTGAAAATATTTAACGTCCGCCTCTCTTTATCGTTCTTTTGCCCCTCTATTCCACTTGAAAACATACCCACGCTCCGATCTGGGCGCGTACGTCTTGCACGTCCGGCATACAAATCGCACGACAATTCGCAAGAACTCTGTGGCTCGTGCCCAGGAGTTCGAAACGCTAAAAAGCGCCGCGCGGTAACGGAGCAGCTTGGGAAAGGTGATGCGCCGTATACGTACACGCGTATGCACCTGTAGAATTTATATCTCTATGCATTCGCACGTGCGCAACTGAGATAAACGGTTAGGAGCCGTAAAAATACTTTGACGAATTCTCTCGCGCCCCGCCGGGACGATCGTGTCGCGAATTCTCTCGGTGTATTAATATATATTGCATGATTCGCGGATTATATCGCGTGTTATATAAATACCACGCGCGGGTTTACATGCACTTTTCGATGTGGGAACCGGCGCACGTGCCCCGCGAAAGAAACATATCAATCAATCGTGTTAACACTCGGAGACCCGCCCGGCCGATAGTCACGTACCAGGACAACTTGGTTAAGTTGTGCGTGGAAATATATACATAGTATGTTTAGCGCGTTACCAATGAAACACATTAAAATGTGTGTGTGCGTGTGTGTGTCGTACGGATTTTGATTACATTTGCGAGATATGTATTTTTGCGGACTATAGAGAGATTATTTCTCCTTTCTCTATTTCAGTTTGATTATCAAATTATTCATATACGCGCATGTACATTTTACGTGTGCATACATATAGACGTACATATACACAGGTACACATGCCATTATAGAAATTGTTTTTGGGGCAAGGACGAATTGCATAAAGGGATTTTATTAAATGAATTAAATTCGTATCGATAACAATCCATCAACTGTTGCGAGTAAGACGTGTAAGAACATCCGTACATATATATATATATACATATTAATTTTAATGGTCAAATCTATATGGCGTGTTAAAATTACAAAATATATTTTGGACTTGGGAGAATTTCAAGTGAAGCTTTCAGGCAATTAAGGGTTAAAGAGAAGGAATTTCATGGCTCCCACGCATTAGCTTTAACGAAAATACAATGTGATATTTTTTCCTCCAATTTCAAGTTATTTAATTTCACTTTATCGCTACGGGATTTTTATTTGAACGTTGATTACGGGTATGTCCAAAATTGGAAGTTAAACGACTATTAGAAAAAAATGCCCACTCCAGTTTTTGTTGGGGGAAAAAAATTGACTTTAAATCGAAAGTGCGCGCGTGGGAAAACAAAGGACAGATCGCGTGCGTTTTTTTATTCAAATTAAAATTTAGCTCAACGGCACGTGCTCTCATTTTTTCGAGCAAATATGTCCAAAGCTTGTGTATATTTTAATCCAGTATCGATCATCGAACGAGGGAGGCCGATCGAATTTTGGGCATATCCCCGGGTGCAAGTGGAGAATATACGTGTACACACACACATACGTGTAGGATAGATAATTACAATTTCGTTATAATGGACAGCCACGCTAATGACACTTTAAAATCACTCTTGGCGCGATATAAATTAATACATATCTCCGTTCTTTTAAGGACCGCGCGCAGCGCGGTGACGGTAATCATATTTTTGTGTCATAATGCACGGCCTGCATTTAAGCGCTCGCGGACTAAATCATCTTTTTTCGGCCGTTAAAAGCGCGGAAATCCCGTTATGCAATGGGATTATGTCATTCCCGCTGTGGCGTATCCTTCTCAAATTGCCGAAACGCCGAAGTGCCTTCCGTTCTACAAGAAGTTGCTCGCCATAAATACTAAAGCTTTTTCGAAACTCCTTAAATCGAGACTCTTAAAAAATCATAACTCTTGCACAGAGTTTCAACACACCATTTGGCTTCTTAAAGATTATGTTATTTCTTTCAACGTGACGGAATGAGCCACCGGACGGAATAGTTCAAGCCGATAAAAATGCAATTCTCGCGTTCTAAAGTGACTTTTGTGTGCCAAAAATTTGAAGGAAAAACATAAGTAGTCCATTTCTAAAAAAAGAGATGTTACCAGCAAATAATTCAGGAAAAAACATTTGTAAAGTGCAAAATACCTTTGTAGGAGTACAAATAAGACTCCAACTATCGTTCAAGTTTCTTACATCTAGATTTACTATGCGTTAAGAGTAGATATTTAAGTATTTCCAATTTCATGCACTTTTGTCTAAGATTGTACGTCCAATACATCCTTAATCGTTCATTCAATCAATACCAATAAGCCCGCGGAATAATACGCAAAACGTAGCAACAGTCACGGAACAAAGTAATGTACAATAAAATATTAAGTACGGGGAATTTTCCATTGCGTAGGCAGGCCAACGAATTCTCAACGTTTTTTTTGTTGTTTTTCACTCGGCGCGGTGACGTACGACGTTTAAGCGGGCCAACGAATTCTCAACGTTTTTTTTTGTTGTTTTTCACTCGGCGCGGTGACGTACGATGTTTTTGCGTGCCATCGTGTACTTGAAGGTCGCTGCGCTCTCAATCGCTCGCCGAACGTCGAGCCGGCAGGCAGTGGCGAGAGTCGCTCCGTGCGTGTCTTTACTTTTGCGTTATCGGTTTCCAAGACTCGATCGCGACGAATGCAGGGATGAAACGCTATCGATTTGTACACTTTTATCAGTAACAAGTAACGTTCCTCGATTAATTATTAACTTTCTACAACTTGTAATGAGAAACGAATTGCGTGTTCACGCGACGGCTCTTTATCAACGTACACAGAGATATTTTACGAGACTAACTCATCTAAAATGTGAATGCGTGGTACTTTGTCGCGGTTACATCTCGTTTACGCACCGCGCTTTTAATTATCTGTCGATTTCGTGTAATCTGTTCCATTTTCGGGAAGAGAGAGAAACTTGTGCGACTTAGGCGTTCGCGCTGTAATTCTGTTGTTCTTCGCAACTAATTTGTATAACAAAAAGTTACGCGATATTTGTTAACAATATTTCGTGCGTTTCGCGGTATTTCACATCGCGTACGGGAGTGCCGAAATTTCGCGCGATCGATGATTTTCGCCAAGTGTTGTGTGAGTGTTGTGCGAATGCAACAAGGAAATCTGAGAGGAGGAGGCGGCCTGGAAGGCATCGGGCAACGGCGAAGAAATGGTGAGGTAAGTGTCTTGCATTGCATTTTTATGTTATTTGCTACTTGTGTGAAATAAACCGGTCCCTGTTTTTATTTTATTTATTCAAATGATTCGAAGTGTTAGAGACCAAACCATACGCATAAAATTGTGTGAGTTTATATTTAAAAGAAAGACTTTTTCAGTATTCTATCTAATTGTTTTAATAAATACCTATCTTAAAAATATAAAATATTAAGTATATTTGATACAATAATTTCGATTTGACATAATTAGCCTATAATAATCATATACATATTTGTGTTTTTGCAGTTTGACATATAATTTAACGGCGTACAACTCTGCTGTTGCGAATCCTATCAGTGAGTGATAAATTTCTCTTTACTTTAAATTGACGTTGCACACACAATTACTTATTTGCATGTATACGAGTTTGTAAAACCATGCAATGCCCAATTACAAATTGCGCGTTCTGTCATTTCTAGTAGGTTTAGAAAATAGTTGATTTAGCAGAAAAGATTTGCACGAATAGCTTCCGCGAAACATAAGAATTCTAATAACACTACGGGTTCCTTTGTTCCGCGCAAACAGGAAGATGAGAAGCGAAATTATGTAAGCGTTACGGAAATTTTGTTAACTTTACACAGTCCCTGTGTGTATACAATAAAATAGGGTGGGATAAGAAGTTCCGCGTATGTGGAAGAAATGTGGAAGAGATTGCTCAGACCCTCCATCTCCCCGTGCGAAACGTGTGCGGGATGTGTGCAGATCTCATTTACGAGAGGATGTATACGCGGAAAATTGCATTCAGGCTGATGAATCGCGGTACCGCGCCGATATTAAAATTCGCATGCGGCACGCGCGCACGGGAGCTCAGTCCCTTTTTTTCTCTCACGGTGACAGCGCATATTGTAAGCTTCTTGAAATGTAATTATGTCGCGAAGGGGTCGAGAAAAAGAGATGCGCTTCGGAGGTTGGTTCGCTGATTGAGAGAGCAGACCGGCGCGGGGACCGTGTAGCGGGGAACATTTGACTGTACTTTAAGCGACTGTACTTACGCTCGTTAGGAGCAATGTAAATATGTCTCCCGGAAATTTGTTGTAATTCTTTGTAACACAAATTTCGCGGGATTATTTGCGCCCGAGTGCCCTTCTAGATGTTGTATTTATGACGTTAAACTTACGGAAAGGGCACTTTGAGTGCTTGTAGACTGTCTCATTAGCGACGTGAAACTTTGTTGATGCGTACTATTCTCTCTCTCACTCTCTCTCTTGCCCAACCAG